GTTAAACTTTGAACTCTTTGTATCAGCCTGTTCGGGTGACTCTTGCAAGGCAATGCAGCTGACCTCCTGGCTGGAGAAGCAGGAAGAAGATAGATGGACTCCTTGCAGGGAGCAGGGAATCCTCTCTTCCCCTTGGGCCTGAGGGCCCTGCTTCCCCAAGGGAGGACAGCTAATAGCTCCAGAGAGTCAGGAAGGAGCACAGCAAACCTTCTGCCTGCTCTTGCATTTGGGAAGTGAAGGGCTCTGCTCAGCAGGTGGTGTCTCCCTGCACTTCTTTTCATTTTTGCTCCCCTCTAATGGCCAAAGATCAGAGGGCCCCTTTTCTGGAGACCATGATGTCACAGGCTGTGGTGACTGGTGCCAGAGGGTGCTCCAGGCAGGCTCACAATTACCCAGCACTGCATCAGGATGGGGTTTTCCACAGCTCTGATTGCTGGGTTTTATCCTGTTTTCTGTTACATCTCCAAAGAAATGCACCTGTCTCGTGGTTGCTGGGAGAAGGTGTTACAGCTAAACTTGGGAAAGAGAGCAGTGAAGGCAAATCAATAAATCTGCACAAGTCTCAGTCTTCATGGAGTCAGTGTGTCTTCCTGCTTACATCCCTGAGAGAAGCTCTCTGCCTCTGACACTTGCACTGCAACTCTTCCCTCTCCTTGGAGCAAGTTAGATCCACTGCCCGGGTTTCACCCAAAGTAGCAAATCTTCTGCAGGTTGATCTCTATGAAGCCTCAATCTATGCAAAAATGTGCGTGCTCATGTGCTCAAAGCTTAGGCTTTTGAACAGCTATGCTATTTATTGTGTTGCAATACTTGCTGTTGCCCTTTTTTAAAAAAAACTCTTAATCTGAAGTGCCAGAAAATTTAAATAATACCTCATTTGGAACAGCTAGGGATTATCATAGAAGGGTTTGGGTTAGAAGAGACCTTTAAACATCATCCCGTCTCAACTCCTCTGAAAAGAGCAGGCACATTTTCAATTAAATCAAGTTGCTCAGAGGCCTGTTCAGCTTTGAATATTTGAATCTCTCTGGGCAATCTCTTTCACTGTTTCACCACTTACGTGGGCATAAACTTTATATTGCTGAATGTAAGCCTAACAGCCCAGGGTAAATCCTCCAGCACCTTTCATCAAGCTCTTGCTGCAGTGTGTTAAACATAGGCTCCTTTCCAAAGTTAGAGAATCAATCCGGAGAGAAAGTTTGTTTCCTTATCCTTACCATGTCTTCCCACCTATTGAAGCTACTTAAGCCAAACTGCAGTATGTGTAACAAAATCATGCCTTACCTGCTATGCCACCTCTGTTGGTGTCAAAAGGGTTAAAAGATCTTTTGATCAAGAATGTGAAGGTTGTTCTTTGTTTTTGTAGTGTGGTCAATGTGGCGAAGAAGCTGCCCCTGGATGGCCCATGTATGAAATCATATGCTCTGCACTCAAGAGGGACATATGAATCAGGGCATGATCCTAAGCTTCGATGAAAGCTTGCAGTGCTTGTGCAAGAAGATCCTTCAATGACTTTCTCTGCTCCGATGTGTAAATCACAAGTAGCAATCACAGGCAGTACAACAAGCTGATTTGGAGGTAGTTATGTGCCATCTTAGCCTGCTCAGCCTTGCCTCCTGTGCAGAAAACTGTCCTCTGCACTATTGGGGATGGCAGCTTAGCTCAGACCAGCAAGGGCCTGTTTGAGTGAGGTTGACTCTGTGCACACTCGCTCTTTCCCTGTAGAGTCTGTCAGGGGTCTTGTATTTAAGGCCAGCCTGAACTGGCATATCCTACCTGGAATTAAATAATTTTTTTAAAAAGATCAACCACTCTGCATCCTCTTTTCCCTGTCCCCACCTGCGTGGAGCAGGTAGGTAGTTGGTGGCAGTACAGTGACAGTCAGCTAGCTAACCAGCAGGGTGTGGTGGACACACTGCTCCTGTCCCCCACAGTGATCATGCTTAGCTCCCTCCTAGTTGGTGTAGCTGCTCTCTTGACTCCTGCCACATATCCACCGTGTTTAAGTCCTTCTACAAGCTGCTCTGTACAGTCTCTTTTGTGACATGTGCTATGGAAGTGGTTGATCTGCAAGGCCAGGGAACTGTAAGTGCTTCTTGCCCTTTACCTATCCTCAAGCTTTGGATTTGTTGATTCGTGACGTTCTTAGGAAGATGATTACCTACTCTATAGAAACCGCTTCCTGAATTTTGGATCCTACCAGGATTTGGCATGTTGTTACTCATCCTGAACAGTACCTGGAGTCTTTCACAAACAGCTACATGCTCTTCAGTCTTGAAGAAAGGCAAACATGCTGTCTACCACTAAGTCAGTTTGTTGTTTACTCTCCTGTTATAGGAAATTTATTTTAACACTTGGAGTCTGAAATGTGACATTTGTGGAAAAATCAATTATCTTGTAATCCCAACCCCAGGGCAAATCAGACTGTAGGTGATGCATATCAGAAACTAGTCCTCCTTCTGTATATATTGGTGAAAAAGTGAGTCTCTACCAGAAAACTGAAACTCTTGTTGCAAATAGGAATTTGAGCTTTAATTGAGCATTAAATTTATTTAGGGCTACCTCAAAGAAGAACTATTTCTGGAATGCTGTAGAAGCAGTCTAGTGGGAAATGCACTCTCCAGAAGCATCCACAGCCTTATTTCATGGTCCTCAGAAAATTGTCCTTTCTCTCTGAGGTCCTACCTAGCCACTGTGGCCTCTGAATAAAGGCATGGAGGCTTCTGCTCCATAGTCTCTGTCTCCTCCCCACTCATGTGGAGGACAGAAGAATGTAGTGCTCCTCTCCCACTAATTCAGGATCGCAGCCCTGATGTGCCAACGGTCTGTGAAGTGTTGCTGGGGCTCTGCTTCCTCACCTGCAGGATCTGAGCTCTGTGCAACTTATTGTGATGTGTTTATTTAAAAGTCACTATGATGTCCATGTTACATATCAGCTTGTAAAGCATCCTGAGTCCAACAGTGATTCTGAGCACAGTGCCAGTGTCTGGGCACTGGACTTGGTAGCTCTCTGCGTGCTAGCCCACCCAGACCTGGGAGTGCAGACAGGTGTATTTGACATTGTGGAGGCAAGAGGATAATTGGAATGTCACAACTCTATCTGGATTGCTCAGGTAAGCTTTCAGTCCATGAGAAAGCCCTGCCTTACTAAGCAAGACAGGGATCTTGGAGGATGCCAAGAGCCTCATCTTTTCTGTCTGCCTCTGTTCTTTACATGTGTTGTTCTTGTTCCCTTCTGCCAAAGATGCACTTGGGGAGGGCTCTCCACCAGCTGCCTGCTCAGGTGGCACCAAACAGCTGAAGTCATGAGCTCTTCCTGTAACTGAACATGCCACCACCTCAGAGATGGATGGACAGACCTGCTCCAGGAGGCAATGTTCTTGTTCATGTGGCATGAAGCGGTTTCAAAATGAAAACTTTAACTACTGAACAAAGGATTAGGTTAGGAATAAAAAATTATCTCAGTATCAGCACCTTTTCTACTCAACTAATCCAATTTACCCTTGCATGTCCCAAGAGCATTCTCTCTTGTGATATGGTGTCTTACACAAGGGAGACCTTGTTTAACAATTGCTAAAGCATAGGTCAAACAAGCAGGTATTTTGTACTTGTTGTGCCTCAAGCAGCTAACCACTGTACTCCGTCTGAGAACAGCAAATCCACAGACAATATGCAGCCAAAGGAGTCAGCAACAGTGAAACAGTTGTCCAGAGCATGGAGAGGGTTCCCAACATGGCTTTGCTGCTGAATAATGAGACTGAATGTCAACTTGTAAGCACTAGAAGCTAGTGCAAAAAGTACCCTGCTTGTGTGGCTGTACCTAGTCTTTTGGTGTGTAAAAGCCCTTGCAGCAGATGAAAGTTGTCTTCAGCATGTACCTGAGTATTTTGCTTAGTGATGCTACTGCCCAAAGCAGGTGATGAAAGATGAAAGACAAGTGACATGGGATGGAGACTGTACAGTCCTTGAGCTGCAGTCCTCTGGAAGGGGCAGGACCTCCTGGGAGCTGGAAACACTAATGTGAGAGCTGTGCAAGGCACAGTGGGAGATCATGCTACATGCAGGATGTTCTCCCCGTGCATGATATGGGGAAAATACTGCTGCTGACATGTATAGGCTGACCTTAAACTTGCAAGTGCTCTACAAAACAGAGAGTGTAAGTCAGGATGGTGCAAAAATCACCAATGGATTTTAATTCCTATATGTCAAATTCTTCCTCATTTTCTCACACTAGTGCATTGTCAAAAGCAGAGCAAATCGTAGATGCCCCATTCCTGGAAACTTTCGAGGCCAGGCTGGATGGGGCTTTGAGCAACCTGGTTTAGTGGAATATGTCCCTACTCACAATGGAGGGGTTGGAACTAAACGATCTTTGAGGTCCCTTCCAACCCGAATCATTCTATGATTCTATGAAATGTCTCATTGAGGGAAACATTCACCTCCTGTTTGAAGAGTCAGCAGTTAAGCAGACGACTTGTGTACAAAGTGCATTGATGCCTGCATGAGGCAAAAGTATCCCCAAGCCTGTGAGCTTTGTAGGGTGCTGCTGTTGAACATGTAAACACATGATACTCGGGTGAAATACCAAGCTGAGTGAAGTGACCAGAGGGTGCAGTGAGATATACTGTGTTCAGGGGATTTTGACTATATTGGAACCATTTTCAGCTGCAGGAAGCTAAGTAGGAGATTACCTAGAGCCCATTTCATCTGCAGCAGCAGTGACCAGATGCTGCAGTCTATGGTGAAGCAGGCACAACAGCTAACCGCAGTCAGGGTAAGGGTGTTTCTGCCTGTTGTTGGTGACAATGTTGTTATTACCCTGCCCATCTGCTGAGGGGCGAGCTGGGATGGGTGGGCCAGGTACCTAGTGAGCGGGAGGGCCCCCCAGAGCCCGACGGGGAGACCGGAGCCTCCCACTCCCTGTGCTGGGCAAGGAGCTGGAGGCTGCGGTCTCCCCGTCGGCCCGGGAGGTCCCCAGTCCTGCCCCCGCCCCCGGTGTGATGTTGGGGCGGAGCGCATTCCCGGGATTATATCCGCCGGTGCGAGGTCGGGGAGCGGCTGATTTTGGGTTGCGCCCAGAGATGCTGGATATGGAACTGAACGTCGACCCGTCGGAGGTGCAGCCGCTGGGAGAGTATGACTTCGAGAAGAACTTCAATTTTACAGCAACCAGGAAATGGATGGTAGAAAATCGGTGAGAGGAGAGGAGGTTGCAGCTCCGATGCACCCTGGACCCCGGGTAGCTCCGTCGGGTCCTGCTGTTTCTAGCAGAACAGGTGTGGGGGTCCTCAGTTCCGAGGAGGAGGAGGTTGGAGGGCTCTGGTTCCACACCTCAGGCTGTTGAGGAAGGGCTGCAGCAGTGCATGGGGCAGAGCAAACAGTGGTCCAGGTGGTGCTGCAGCCTGTTGGGAGGTGGTGATGTGTCAAGAGGGCAAAGAGCAGCCACGGATGGCCACTGCAGCCCTTGCACCGGCAAAAAGGGTACTCAGCCCTGACATGCTGCTGTAAAGCCTTGGAAAGGAGTGGGACACAATACAAGGCGCTTGAGGCTCTAGCTTACTGGTGCAACTGGCCTTTTTAGACATCCTGCATAGGCATCCTCTGCCTATACAGTCTCATGTGTAAATGGATAAAATGCATTGGTGTGTTTGCTTGGGATCCTGCTCATAGGCTACCAGAACCTGTCTCATCCCATCAAGGTTTTGTGGAAATCTCCATGATGTAGCAGTTCACTTTCTTTTCTGCAGTCCCCATAGTTTTTCCTTGCTAGCTCTACTCACTGTCAGGGCAGACTTTCTTCCAAGCCCAACCTAAACATAAGAATGGGAGATGTTTTTTTCTTGGTGAGAGCACTTCACTGGGGCTACAGAAGTCTGGCTGAAAATAGGTCAGCTTGGGTCTTTTCCTGATGGCTCCCTCTCCTCTACTTGCAGGCACAAGTCTTTAAGTTTTGGTGCTATTTATTTGATCCTTGTCTTTGGAATCCAGCATTTCATGAAGGAACGGAGAGCCTTCCACCTGCGGACACTACTGACCCTGTGGTCCTTCAGTCTGACCTTGTTCAGGTAAGAGCCTTTACTAAAACTGGAGATAGCTGTAGATCTTCCCTAAGGACTGGATTGATGGAAAGTTCTGGATATCCATGATGTCACTAAGGAAATAAACTATTTTTTTTCCCCATGAAGGCCCTTTCCAACTAGGGGAAGTGACCTGCTCATACAAGTAATTTGTTTCTCACCAGAAATATTCCAGCAAGTGGAATGAGCTGCAGAAGGACTGCTGGGGACTGTGCTTGAAAATCATTAGTGGGTAGATATGAATGTGAAGCCTGCAAAAACAGAGATCCTCCCTTATTCAAAGGATTCCTACTTACTACAAGTTTGATTTGAGGTTTATTACTCTTTAAAATTGTTTTTCCCACCACCACCTCTCTCTAGTCCTGTTGTGTAGGAGGTGGGAAAAATTCTGCTAAGCTCACAGAAGCATAGAAAATTAATATAAAATGTATGTTTTCAAACTGTCCAGTCTTACAGTACTGGTTTCCTGCAGTGGCCGTGAGACTGTTTCAGCCCATGCTCTGTAACTATAAACAAGCAGATGTCAATTTTCAAAAATTCCCCTTATCTCCACACCTCCTTCTGTCTGTTTTGTGAGCCAGAGAGAAATTAGACTACTACCTCTAACTCCAGTTGGCTTTGATCAACTCAAAGGGACACCGGTTATCTTCTGTTAGGGCTGGGCATGGCAGTGGTCTGTAAAATCACAAGTTGTGTGAAAGGGGAGGTCAGGGGATGACAGTTCATGGTTTGTTCAGAGACAAGCTCATACGGATGAAACAGGTTGATAACAAAGAAGAAGTGGTATTTCTCAAACTGTAGGAACTGCCTGCCACAGGAGACTGTAAATGTTCCCTGGGCTGTCCTGTGGGCCCATGTTAAGAGGTGGGACATCAGGACAATTATTCCCCTTTTCTGATCAGCATGGCAGCTTTTGCTCAAGTGCCTCTTCAAGCAGTGGAAGCAGAGAGTGTAACAAGGGAGCACTCTTTGATGCGCAGACGTTGGCTGCTGCCACCCTCCAGGAGCTGCATGGTGGCACCAGGCAAGCTGAAGGGCTGTGTTGGTGTCTCACAACCTACTTACTCCTTGTGTCTTGCTGCTGTTCTGGTGGGACCAGCAGCCTTTGTCTTGCAGGAATATCCTGGCTAAAAGGTGTTGGGCAAGCCTGTGCCCAGCAAACAGAGAGCTAAAACCTTCTGGGAAGTAAAAGAAGACAACAGTTTGTTTAAATGTCCATGAGACTACCCTGGGCATTGAGATGGAGTTAGCTGAATATCCTTGGGTGCAGAAGTGTCAGAGGCTCTGGTGGGCCCTGGGAACAGTGTTCAGCTCTTCTCTGATTCTCTTGCAGTGTCATTGCAGCCTCACGGGTCTGGAAGCAAGTGACCTTCCTCCTTCTTAACAAGGGATTTAAGCAATCAGTGTGTAGTCAATCTGTCTACGTTCACCCTGTCTGCAGGCTTTGGATCCATTTATTTGCAGTGAGCAAAGTTGTGGAACTGGGTGAGTCTGAAACTTCTTATCCTGTGTATTTGTTACTGTTACTTGGTTGTTTAGCTTTGCAGGTGTCACTCGTTTTCTTGCTTCCTCAGATGATATGCTTGCTCTCCAAGGGGTTGCAGCCTGATGTTGTTACTCTAGTTTGATCCCCAGGCCAGTGCCTGGACTAATCAATTCTGCCTTGGAATGACTGCAGTGAGGGGGCAGCAGACAAGTAGGCAGGGAAGGGTTGGGGACTCTTGTACTACAAACATGCCAGCAGGTAGGGTGCCCGAATGATCTTTTTCAATACAGACTATTTCAATGTGAACTTAGGTTTTGGTGGGATCAAGCCATACAATGGCTTCAGTATTGAAGCTTGCTTGTTCTACCTCTTGTGAAAACTTGTGCAACTGCTGTGCTTTCACCAAACTAACAATACATCTCTCTCCCAACTCAAGGTGACACTGTGTTCATTGTTCTCCGGAAAAAGAAGCTCATCTTTCTCCACTGGTATCACCATTTATCCACAGCAGTTGTAGCCTGGTATAGCTATAATGATCTGGTGGCTGGTGTTGGATGGGTTGCAGCCTTGAACTTCAGTATCCATGGTCTCACATATGCCTACTACACTGTGACAGCCACGGGCATCCGGGTACCCAAGTCCATCGCCATGACAATCACCACTTCACAAATGGTGCAGATGACGGGATTTGTAATAATTAACATCTTTATCTTCTTCTGGAAGGATGATAAGGTCTGCCACACCACCTGGCCACTGCTTCTAGCTTCATCTTGGGTTTATATCACTTTTTTGATACTCTTTGTCAACTACTTCTCCAAAACTTATCTGAGTGGCACCTGGAAATCAAAGGGGGAGTAAAACCAGGGACAGAAGAAGAGACTGGGGTGGAGGTGGGGAGAGAGGGAAAGGGGAAACTTTTCACTTCTGTCTGGATCTCAGGTGCCTAATGGGATGGGTGTGATGAGGGTTAGGAAGAGATCACTGTGGATAACAGCCTTCAGATTAACTTGTGCATTGACCTTTGGTGTGTCTGCCTTGCATTGGGGGGCATGCCAGAGTGAGGTGTGAGTCATTGCAGTCTGGTAACAGGAGAAGGGGGAAGTACCTGGGGGCTGGAGACCTTGGAGCTGTGGTTCTGCTTTTTCCTCTTTGTGTCACTTGGGTTTACCTTGTGCCTTGCCTCCTTCCCAGGGACTGATAGGATCTTGCATGCCCCAAGACTCTCCTTGGAAAAAAGGTAGGGAAAGTCCTCTCAAAACAGCACTACCCTCTCCATGGTCCCTGGTTCTGGGGGAGAGCAGGAGAACAGAGCCCAAACCTACTGCTACTTTGCATGTGGGGCAGCTGCCATAGGTTACTGGTGGGAACAGCACTGAAATGGAAAATCCCTGCTGTGTTGTAAGGTTGCATTGGGAGGGGCTGTGCCCAGGCTCTCCCTTCTTCTCTGTGGTGTGAGGAACTGCATCCCATGAACTTTAATGGCTGTTATCTGTGGTGTGCCTTTTGTACAATATTAAACAATCTATTTAACTTGACTAGCTGCTGTCTCAGACTCTAGGAGCTGAGCAGGGTCCAGCTCTGCCCTGCAGATTGTGCCAGGCATTGCTAATGGTCCCAGCCCAGGGCCAGCCCTGTGGGCTGGAGGCAGAATGGTCCCAGGATCAACTCCTCTCAGAAGACTTCTGCCACTGTGTGATGTGTTAAAATGACTAATAAATGCTGTCATATGGATTGATTGATTGATTTTTTTTTTTTTATGTCTTTTTCGTACTTGACCTTTGTACAGAACTGTGAGAGAAACGTTGCTTTCTCTGTTTCAATACTTTGTCTTTCTGAGGGTTAGCAAGGTATCTGGCAGATTCAGTCCCTCTATGCTTACCCCTTCTGCAGTCATCAACAACTGGTCTTGCTTCTCGAGCCCCTTTGCTCACCATGAGGGAACTAGAAATGAGAGAGAGAGATGATAAAATTCAGGCTGTTGTTTTACCATCTGAACTGAGCATGTGGCTTTTCAAAGTCACTGTGCTTCATGAAGTCAAGATGAATCTCAGAGCCTGAGTCTGGCCAGGAGCACCCCAGTGTCCAAGCCTCTGTTTGTGTGCTGGCTCCTACCTGGTGAATGGGATTTGGCTGTTTGAGGCAGTGGGCTAGAAACCTACCACAGGGCTGTGGGCTGCACTTTTATCCCAGGAGATGGCATCAGCCTGTGTCCTGCCCAGCCTTCCCTGACAAGGGCTCCCACTCTGGACTTCCCAGCGTGGTGGGTAGTAGTGTAATAGCACCTTCCACAGCTTTGGGAAATGCAGAAGCAGTCAGCTGAGAATAGCTGGAGAATAGGAATAAACTGCCTTCCGCATTTGGAAGCTCTCTTTAGAGAGGGGATGGTGAACATATGGGAGTAATGAGGTGATCTCTCTCCTGCATGGTGCTATTTGGGGCACTTTCTATGACAAGCATGGTGTTGGTGAGGCAACTGCCAGCTCTCTCCTTACATGTGCCCACAGTTGCCCCAGCAATGCTCCCTCAGCTGTCTCAGGCATCTGCACAAACACCGGATCATAGAGTCATCAAGACTGGAAGAGACTTTTAGGATCATCAAGTCCAGCCTTCAATGCAGCGCTTCCACTGTAACCTCTAAAACACTAAACCACATCATTCAGTGCCAGATCCAGAAGTCTCTTAAACACCTCCAGGGATGGTGACTCCACCACTTGCCTGGGCAATCTATTCCAATGCCTGACCACCCTAACAGTGAAACAAAATTTTCTAATATCTAATCTGAATTTCCCCTGTCTCAGCTTTAGACCCTTTCCTCTAATCCTTTCACTGCAGGCACAGTAGAAGAAACCAGTCACAGCATCACTACAGCTTCCTTTCCAATAGTTGTAGAGAGTGATAAGGTCTCCCCTGATCTTCCTCTTCTCAAGACTAAACAAACCTGGCTCCCTCAGCCATTCATCACAAGACATGTTTTCTAGTCCTTTCAGGAGCCTTGTTGCTCTTTGCTGGACATGCTCCAGCAGCTCAATGTCCTTTTCAAAGTGAGGGCCCAGAACTGAATGCAGCACTCGAGGTGCGGCCTCCCCAGAGCTGAGTACAGGGGGATGGTCCTGCTGGGCACACTATTCTTGATACAGGCCAAGAAGTCACTGGCCTTCTTGGCCACATGGGCCCACTGCTGGCTCGAATTGAGCCAGCTGTCAACCAGCACCCCCGAGTCCCTTTCTGCCAAACAGCTCTCAAGCTGCTCACCCCCCAGCCTGTAGTGCTGCAAGGGGTTGCTGCGACCCAAGTGCAGGACCCGGCACTTTGCCCTATGGAACTTGATGCAGTTGTTCTTAGTCCATTGGTCAAATCTGACTGGGTCTCTCTGCAGAGCCTTCCTACCTTCTAGCAGATCATCCAACTTAATGTCTTCTGCAGGTTTACTACCCTTGACTACCCTTGCTCTGCTGGTGCCGCCCCACTCAGCAGTGCAGACCAGGGCACTGGAGGCAGGGCTCTGCATCTCCAGAAGACTTCACCTCTGGAAGAGCTCTTTGTAGGCCCATCCGTGCATGCTGTTTGGGTAGGAAGTATCTTTCGTGGGGCAGGAATCAACCCAGCAGAAGGAGGGTTTGCTGAGGGTGTGTTGCAGAGACCCTCTCTCCCCCTTCAAGAGGCACCGCAGCTCTTCAGATGGCCACATCCATCCACTCAGAATATGAGGATACCCCCTTTCCAGTGCTGCCTTGCCCCACCTGCCCTACGCGCTCCCCAGGGAATGCACACCATTGGCAAGCCCAGCATTAGCCCCTTTGCTCTGCTGTTCTCTCTGGCTAAACAAGAGATAGCAATAAATTTACCAGACCTAGGAAGGGGAAGACTTCTATTTCTCATGTGTTTTATATTATTGCTGCTGTTTGGCAAGTTTTCTGGAGTGCTGAGCTGTGGGTGAGAGTAAAGTGGTGATGCTTGCTGGGGCTTAGGGAGCTAATAACAGCACTCTCCCAGGTCAGTGCTATTTCCCTGAAGCTCTCTGAAAATTACTCCTCCTGGTACTCTGTGAAGAAAAGTCCTTCTTACGTGTGCTGGTGAGCTGAAGCAGACAGTGGGCATGCTTTGGAGGGGATGTATCTTGAGGATTTGTCTATTTTTGTTGGGTTGGGGGGGGGGTTGTTTGTTTTACTTTGAGGGAATGAAGAGCAATCGGTTGCCTCTCATGCAGGAGTCACTGCTCAGGGGGAGCCATGGTCCCCACTGAAGGAGTCTTTGAGGACCCTTGCACAGCTGGAGCAGCTTGGCTTAGGGGCAGCCGAAGGGATGTACGGAGGCTGCGGGATGCAGGGGAGCAGCCCTGCAGCTCCGGCACGGGCCGGGCAGAGGACGTGCTGCGAAGAGGAAGGTTTCCTGGGGGCGGGAGTAGACGGGGCCCCAGGTTGCGAGAACCGATGAATCAAGGCTAGGGAGCCGGCGGGGAGCAAGAGGGGCTTTTTTTTTTTTCCGGAGGCTTTATCCGTCCTCCGGCGCGGGGCAGGAGCGCGGTGCCCACCGGCATCCGCTGCCCGCCGCTAGGTGACACCCGCCGCCCGCGCTGCCCGGCGGCAACGGGGTCCGAAACGGCGATTAAGACAGAAATTAGAGCCACCTCTCACAGCTGTGGGTCTACCTGAGCCCAGTTGTTAACACGCGCAGCAGGGGCTCGGAGGTTCGCATCCACCCCGCCGTTCGGGGCTCTACTGACAGCACGCACCAAGCGAGGGGAGTCAGAAAACATCCCCCGTTGTATGAACAAGAGGATACTGAACAGGGTCTGTGCTGTGCTGCTTTTCGGTGGAGGGGAAGCACTGACGGCAGCCACTGAGGACACCCAACTGTTCGGTGCACTTTGCCTTAGTCTTCAGACTCAGACAGCTACGGGGAAACGGGGAGCACAAGCCATGCCGGTGATGGGGGCTGAAGGCTGTCCTTGAATAAGAAAAGTGCAAGAGAGTATTTAGATAAACAGGAGTTTTTCAGACTATCTGGGTGTGGTGAACTTCACACAAAACAATCCCAGAATTAGTTATTGTTATCTATGAGAACTCCTGAGAGACACTGAAGCTTGGAAAGACTGTAAAATGCAAGCTTTGTACCCCCTCTTCAAAACAGGGACTGAGACCAAAAGCCAGGGACTGCTGATAGTTAAATCCCAGCCCCATCACCACCCAAAAATGCTAGAACAAATAATCTCACTGTTTGTAAGCAGTGGAGATGAATGGGAGGTATATGGACCCATCAAGAATGGAATCTGGTCAAAATAATCCAAATTTCCTTTATGACAGAGCAATGGCATGGTGAAGAAGAGCTCTTGCTGCCATCTAGATGAGATATCAGGTAGGTACAAAACCCATTGAATAATTATAACTAGAAGTATCTACAGGTCACTGTTGAAAAGGAAGGGGTCTGTTGAGTGAGGTTCAGGGACATCTGTTCCAGGACTGGTTTTGCTCAGCATTTCCCCTAATGACCTGGATGATGGAGGAGAATGTGCACTTGCTAAATCTGCAGATTGGGAAGTATCCAGTGACAAAGTTATCTGCCTAACAGGTCTTCAGAATAAGCAGGACCCTGCTAAAAATGGCCTGCTTTCTTTGCAGTACTAAGAAGACATAGCTGTGAAGGTACTGGGGACTTGTGTGGGAGAGAGAGGTCCTGGAGGAGGTTTGGAGTACACGTGTAGTAAACCTGCAGTGTTTGTGCTGGACCAGAGAGCATGATGTCCATGTCCTGGCCCCATGGGGAGGGAGCCGAATGTGGAAGGCTGTACTGGCCCAGCTGCATCAGGAAGGCAGCTGAAATTTGAAAAACAAGGGACCTCTCCCAGAGCTCTCTGCTGC